TTTGTTTTTTTTTTTTTTTTTTTTTTTTTTTTTTTTTGAGATAGATTTCTCTGTGAAGCCTGGAACTATCCTAGAACTCTTTGTAGAGGTCTCAAACTCAGAAATCCACCTGCCTGTGCTTCCTGAGTGCTGGAATTAAAGGCCTCCACCATCATGCCTGACTGCAAAATGCTTTAAACAAAAAGATTACAATGTTTGTGCTGAAGAAATGCCTCAGAAGTTAAAGCTCTTATTCATTTTGCAGAGGACCTGGGTTTGGTTCCTAGCAAATCCGGTGGCTCATGACCACTTGTAACTCCAGCTACAGGAGGTCTGCCACTCTCCTAGCTTCTGCAGATACTCATACACAGACCCACACACATCACAATAAGTAAAACTAAATCTTAAGGAAGAGTAAAAGCTAGAGCAGGTGTGATGGCTCATGACTACAATTCACTGCTCTACCTGAGACCCCTGAGTGGGATCTCCCCTCTTTCCCTGCGCAGCTATAGCCTGATCAACCCTTTATTAACAAAGCAGAGGTGAAGTCAAACAAGAGATGTTCCAATAATAATGACGATGACAATTTTCTTACCACTGCAACTGGATCTCTGGGCACAGTAGAGGTTTGGGCTGTTGCTATGTATGGCAGTGCTAAATTCTGTACCCAACACCTAGACCTACTAGTGAATTCTTGAATTTACTAGCTTTTGTTGTGAAAACCTTGCTCCTTAATTTAAAACTGTTCAGGTTGGTCCAAGTTGCTATGTATTGTAATGCTAAATACTGTAATGCCTTGGTTGTCTCAGAGCTGAGGAGATTCTTACTTAGACCAAGTGATGCGAAGTAACTTTGCCTTCCAAGTCATCCCTGATTGGTCAATAAAGATGCTTAGAGCCTATAGCTGGGCAGAAGAGAGTAAGCATAGGTGGGGGTTTTGGTTCCTTGGCTGGGGGACTGAGGCAGGAGACCAGGAGGAGAGAGAGAGAGGAGAAGTGGGAGAGAGGAGAAGACACCATGAGGTAAGTGAATCATGAAAACATGGTGAGGGCTGGCCAATTGGAGTGAGAGCGGCCAAGACAGAGCATGGCAAGTTATAACTCAGGATTATTGATAGGGAAGTAGATACTAACTTCTAGGGTAGATATCTGCCCAGCTCTAGTGTTTAAAGGCTTATCATAAATCTAAAGGGTTTGTGTCTTTTTTTTTTTTTGGATGAATTTTATTTATTTGTTTGTTTGTTTGCTTTTTCGAGACAGGGTTTCTCTGTGTAGCCCTGGCTGTCCTGGAACTCACTCTGTAGACCAGGCTGGCCTGGAATTCAGAAATCCGCCTACCTCTGCCTCCCAAGTGCTGGGATTAAAGGCGTGTGCCACCACTTCCCGGCAATAAATTTAAAATTTTTTAAAAAAAGATTTGTTTATTTATTTATGTGTATGAGTTGCTGACACACCAGAAGAGGGCAAAAGATGAAGGCATTCCTTTTCTGAATTTGGAGGCAGCTGTTTTGTGGGGTTTCCAGACAGTGCATGCTGAATATATATTTGGTTTGACGGGTCCAAAGGTCCAACTCCAATTCCCCAAACTCCCAAAGGCAGTTCTAATCTCCAGAAATGAGTTCAACCTGGACTATAAGAGGATTCCTCTGGGAACTTGAGAAACTGGTTCCCAGCAGCCAAAAGGAACCATTTCCTTTACCTCTGGTGGAGGGACATATGACCTGTGGTGTCTATCAGCATAGCAGCTCATACTGGCATTTGGGCTCCCTCAGGATGGTATCACATGTGCCTGTTACACACTTCAGAGTCCATGCTAACATCCTAGCCCTTCCTAACCTCCTTCCTTATCCTAAGCTCCCTCCAGCTTCTGGCTTCCCTCCCCTCAGCTACTCATCCTTCTTACAACCCAGCGATGCTCACTCTTAGCTCTTGTTAGCTTCCCTCCTCCCACAGATAACTCTGGCCATGTCCAGTCTGTTGGCCATGTTCAGTCTATTCCTTTCTCTTTCTGCTCTAGACTTTTCTGGACACCTCTAGATATTTTCTCTCTTTTATTTACAATAAAATATAAAAGAGCTCCCCCTTAACCACACCACAGAGCAGTCATGTCAGTGGTTTCTTACTCTCCCACCCATCACTGCATACAGTTTAGGTAGCTTGTTAGAAATAAGTTTGGATACTCAAGAGGCAGAGGCAGGTGGATCTTTGTGTGTTTGAGGCCAGCCTGGTCTCCAGAGCAAGTTCCAGACAGCCAGGGCTACAGAGAGAAACCCTGTCTTGAAAAACCAAAAATAAAAAGTTTAGGTCTTCAAAAAAGATCATTATTCCAACACTGAAGTGTCTGGACAAGGCACACTTTACTCTGTTTTGTTTGTTTGTTTGGTTGGTTGGTTGGTTGGTTTGGTTTTTGTTTTTTTGAGAGATATGGCTTCACCCTTTACTCTTGATCAAGAGAACAAGCGGAAAGAGTGAACACATAGAAGCAGGATGTACAATTGGTTTTTCTTCTAACTCAGGTGTCTTTTTTGACCTCCTTGAGCATTAGGCATGCATGTGGTACACATCTGTATGTGCAGACAAAATAATTATACACATAATAAAGTAATCTAAAAACATTAAATAGTTGTAAGAAGTCAATCAAACCAGGCAGTGGTGGCACGTGCCTTTAATCCCAGCACCAAGAGGCAGAAGCAGATGGATCTCAGAGTTCAAGGCCAGCCTGATCTACATAGAGAGTTCCAGTACATAAAGAAACCCTCTCCCCCAAAATGGGGGTGGGGTGGTCAACCAAAGGGCTGGGCATGGTGGCCAAGGGATCTCTTGTGAGTTCTAGGCCAGTCCCCCACTTCCCTCAAAAGAAAGAAAGAGAAAAGAAAGAAAAGAAGCAAAGAAGCATAGGGCATCCCAGGAGAGCCAGGTGTAGTGTGAGAATGTTTTCTCATCACCCCCCCAGCACCTAGAGCAGTGCCAGAGCACAAAGGAGGTGCACAGTAAACACAAACTGGATGTAAGAGTATTACAGAAGGGATGTGGAAGAATTCCTATGCATATGTGCTATATGCATGTATATGTATTTATCCGTGTGTGTGTGTGTGTGTGTGTGTGTGGCTTGTGCTACTACACCTAGGTGCCCACGCACATGTAGAGGTCAGAGAACTTGCCGGTGTCCTATTAAATGGGTCCAAGGATTCAAACTCAGGTGGGCAGGCATGGTGGCAAGTGCCTTTACCTGCCAAGGGGTCCCTCTGGCCCTATTTCGTAGTTGTCAGAAGTCTCTGTAAAGAGCTAATTACATAAGACAGTGACCAGCCAGCTTGGCTATCTAAAAATGCAAGGAAAGGCTGTATCAGCTACTGCAGCTTTAAAACAAAGTCGGAGTCTCTTTGAACTTTAAAATTGTGCCTATGCAGTTTATTTCATTTTAGTTTACTTAAATAAACAGAGGATTTTTTCCATGGGGCTGTATTAAAAAGAAGAAATTGGAGGACACACAAGAAAGAGTCAAGGACTTTTGGTAACTCACTCCTTTGGGGTAGCCGCGGCCACAAAGGGGAAGGCGGGGCTTGTTCCAGAACTACAACATCCACAAGGCACTGGAAGGGACACCAGGGTTTCCGGCCAAATCCATTTCCGGTCTTTTGGAGGCTGACGTTGTTTTCCGGTTATCTGTGGCCTAGGGAGGCGTTTGGGGTATTCACGGTGAGTCTGGGAGTCCCAGAAGCGATGGGGGTCCCCGTGACCCGCAGCGCGGTGTCACTGCTGTGGCTTGGGCGGTTCTCCGGGCCCGCGGCTGCCAACGTGGCAGCGGAGCTGGAGTGTGGCGCCGCACAGGCTGCCTGGCTGGCAATGTTTTCCATGCTTGGGTCCATCGCTCACATTGCTCTTCTTTTCAAAGATGAGGCTGCTGGCGGTTGCGGTGTTGGCTCTGTTAGCTGTCAGTCAAGCAGAAGAAGGAGCCAGGCTTTTGGCCTCCAAATCATTGCTCAATAGATACGCTGTGGAAGGGAGGGACCTGACCCTGCAATATAACATCTACAATGTTGGCTCCAGGTAACGGCCTAGTGTTAGCAAGCCCCTTTCTGAAGTCTGAGCTTCCACGTGGACTTAGAGAACATTTTGTTGGGGAGTGAATTCTCTTTTGGAGTCTTCCAGCATCGAGCCTAGTGAGTGAGTGAAAAAAATATATATATACATATATTTTTTTCCACTGGGCTTACCTTTGTTGGGATGCTTTTTGAAAGGGAAGACATCCTTAGGTGAACTACAAGAAACCATTTCCCACTTTGGGGTCCTGGAAGGCTTTCAAAGGCAGGAATAAGTTTAGCTTGTGAAAAAGGAAATGCAGACACAAAATGTCCATCTGTCCTCTTGCCTCGGGTGCAGACTCCCAGCTTTCTTCTCTCACTGTCGATCACTTTTTTGTTTGTTTGTTGTTTTTCAAGACAGTTTCTTCCTGTAGCCCTGGCTGCCCTAGAATCTGTCCTTAGACCAGGCTTGCCTCAAACTCACAGACAGCACCTGTCTCTGGCACTGCTTCCCAAATGCTGGGATTAAAGGCATGTGCCACCACTGCTGGCTCCCATGAGCACTTTACTTGCTGATCTTTCCCTTTTTTTTTTTTTTTTTTTTTTTTTTTTTTTTTTTTTGAGACAGGGTTTCTCTGTGTAGCCCTGGCTGTCCTGGAACTCACTCTGTAGACCAGACTGGCCTTAAACTCAGAAATCCACCTGCCTCTGCCTCCCGATCTTTCCTTTTATATTTCTTTCCCATTTTTATCTTAACTTCCGATATCTAGAAATTAGAGCAGGAATAGCTTTGGGCACATTCACTTCTGGATATTTGAATATTTTGGTGTGTCTTAGCAACAGAATCCAGGCCTTATCTGAATTCTTCAAAACAGACCCAACTTACTGTGGGGATTTCTTTTGACCAGCAGGTAGATTTTCTGGTTAGCTCTCTTAGTTTTCTGCCCCTCACTCTTTTTATTTTCTCTGCTTTCCAGTGCTGCACTAGATGTGGAATTATCTGACGATTCCTTCCCTCCAGAGGACTTCGGCATTGTCTCTGGTATGCTCAACGTCAAATGGGACCGCATTGCCCCGTATCCTTTCTTATAGGTGATGAGGGCTGGGAGTGAGATGTGGCCTGGAAAACAGCAAGGGTGCTGCAGCCAGACCGGGAGTGCAGAAGGGGGTGTCAGCCGTGCGAGTGTGCCTTCCTTCAGGTTATAAGGCTGACTGTATCTCCCTAAGCTCAATTAAGGAGATATAGACATTCATAAAGACATCTGTGACCACAAGTGAATATTGGCTGTGCTTTGTTTCTTTGTATTGCCAGGGACAGATGTAGGTATTCACACACATTGGGTAAGAAGTGCTCTATACCTGATCTGAAAGCACTGAATGTGCTTTCAACTTTCAAAGCACATTCAGTGGGATGTCACCATGAAGACTCTGGGTAACATGTTAGCCTCTCCTCTTAGTGAGTTTCTACTTTCTGATTTGAAAGTTATTATTTTTTATTATTGCTATTATTGTTATTGGGTTTTTTTGTTGTTTGTTTGTTTTTTGGTTTGGTTTTTCGAGACAGGGTTTCTCTGTGTAGCCCGGGCTGTCCTGGAACTCACTCTGTAGACCAGGCTAGCCTCGAACTCTCGAACTCAGAAATCCACCTGCCTCTGCCTCCCAAGTGCTGGGATTAAAGGCGTGCACCACCACCGCCCGGCTAATGTTTTGATTTTTCAAGACAGGATTTTCCTGTGTAGTCCAGGCTGTTCTGAAACTTGCTGTGTAGACTAGGCTGGCCTCAAACTCAGAGATCCACCTACCTCTGCCTCCCAAGTGCTGAGATCAAAGGTGTGCACCACCACTGTACTATGACAGTTATTTTTTAACTATTGAATTACATGATTAGCCCTCCCTCCCTGCTTTGTGTATTTAAGTATACTTAAATTTTCTGTGTGTGTGTCTAGGCAAGAAGACATCAGTTGTTTTGGAGCTGTGATTACAGAAGATTCTGTCCTATGTGGATCCTCAGAACCAGACTCCAAAGAGTAGGAAGTGTTCTTAAATCTCTGAGCCATCTCTCCAGCTACATGTTTACATTTTTCTGATGAGGATAAATATTCTCTGTGTATTTTTGCTGGCTCCTTTTATTTTTAATCCTGTGTACTATATTTTTTAAAACTTCTGTTGTGGACTGGGGTGATTTTTCTGTGGGTACAAGCACTTGGGTTTTTACAGAAGACACAAGGCTTGTTCCCAACACTCTTGTCAGACAACCACAGCCATCTGTAACTCCACTCCAAGGGCTCCAGGGTCCTTTCCCAGCATGCTAGGCAGGCTCTGACGTCCATGTACATATAGACCCGTGGACACACACAGAAAAGCAAATATAAATAAGTAAAGTCTTGCCAGCCGTGATGGTGCACGTCTTTAGTCCCAGCACGCTAGATAAAGAACCAGCCTGGTCTGCCAGCCAGTGAGACCCCTTCTCAAAAAAATGAAAAAATGCCAGGCTGGTGGCGCATACCTTTAACCCCAGCGATTGGGAGGCAGGCAGATGGATGTCTATGAGTTCAGGCCAGTCTGGTCCACAGATCAAGTTCCAGGACAACCAGGGTTGCACAGAGAAACTTTGTCCCAACACACACACACACACACACACACACACACACACACACACACACACACAGAG